GGCTAGGGTACTATTGTTCACGACCGTGGTCAAGTAAAAAAATCAACCACGGTCCAACCTAGCCCATTAGTTGCCTTTCATGAACACCATGACTGTGGTACTATTTTCATGGCCGTGGTCAAGCAAACAATTTAAACACGGTCCAACCTAGCCCATTAGTTATCTTTCATGAACACCACGACCAGGGTACTATTATTCACGGCCGTGGTCAAGCAAAAAATTCATGTTACGCTCCTACTAACCAAGGTCAAACCAAGCCCACGGTCAAGGTAACAATAACCATGGTCAAAACCACGGTCGAACCTGCCCTTTTGTTTCCTTTCGTGTTAATTTGTTTGCGACTTTACTTGCATTCCAGATTGAGGCTAAAATAGTAATTTAACTCTTCAATATTCTATTCCAAATATTAAATTGGGTCAGTTGAGTCAAATTTTTTAATTGAGGTCAATTGAGCAAACGAGAAACTTTTTGGGGTTATCTATGCCAATTTCCCAAATACAAAACTAGCGGTTGCAAGTTTGTTAAATAGTTTCAATGTTTAGGACCTTCTACGCACAACCGACGTATAAAGCGGCAAGGCACCCAAATAGTGCAACTAAGCACATGGCCGATCACGCGCAATAGTGTCCTCTACACTATTATAGTGCAGCTGTACGCTAAAATAGCGCTGCAGCGCTTTAGCACGACCAGCTCATAGCACAGCTCAACACAGACGCAACCCATGCAATAGTGTTGCCCACCTTTGATGTGGCTCAATACACGACCCTTACCCTCTAAATTTGTAAGAGATGCAATCCTTCAAGGCACACCATTCTTTCTCAAGCCACTCATTACTTCCCTCCTCCTAAGCTTATATACTAACTTAAGCATCAGAGTGTGGTAGGCCGGCACCATGCCGACAACCACTCACCTTCTCTTTTTGTAGGTCGCTTTCGTCTCAACTTCACATACCAAGATCTCGTAAAGACTATCAACTGTCTCGGTCTTCCAAACAACAAGATCTCGTCCTTCCCCTATTCACAACCTATCGGGTCTCAGCTTCTCTTAGCTATACCCAACCTCTCCTTGATCATTCAGTGGTCGGTTCGGTGAACTAACTCTCGGTCCGACCAGCTTTCCAAAAATTGTAGCAACAATATATATATATTTTTAATACAACATGTGGGGTGGAGATCGAACTCTCATCCTCATTGTTAATGCTTTAGTTGGCAAAATAAACATCTATCAATAATTTAAACGAAAAGTTGACCACAAAATTGAAACGATGTGACAATTAATATAAAAGTTGATCTAACATATAAGTCATAATTTTGTCTTAAAAGTCTTATTGTTACATTATCAACAAAGTTTGCTTCTTTATTGTGTACTTATTTTTGTCATAGTCCCCTTCAAAAAGAGAGGTAAATTTCTTCTCTTTTCAAACGTAATCCAAAGATTCCACGTTAATTACTATGTTGTTCTAGGTTCTGCAACCTCAACTTTTCGTTCAAAATATTAACGAATATTTTTTCAACAACATTTATAAAAGGATGGTAGTATTGAAACTTTTGAAAGGATATGAATATTTCTTAAACAAATGACAGTATTTAGTTCTTTATTTTTTATTTTTTTTTTGTAATTTAACCCTCATAAAATGGGTAATCTCATTCCTCCCGTAAAATAATATTAGCACACTTTTTAGTTAATGTAATTAGCTATAAATAAAAAATAATTATTCTATTAGTTATCATATATTTGATTCTTATTTCAATTTCAGACCATTTTGGTACATGACATTAATATGTTTCTGATTTCAATTTCAGAAATTTATGGTAAACAAATAACATTATGGACCTTATAGTGTTAGTTTCAATATGATATGATTTCAAAAGTTTTAATTTGATCTTTACTATTAGTTTTTTTAGTACAACGTTTTTTTAGTACAACGTGTTGGGGTGGGAGATCGAACTCATAAGCTCATGATTGGAAATATACGTCAATTATTGCATGCTTACTTTGACGATCTTTACTATTAGTTAAATTTTATAAATTGTCTCTGTTCTTGTCATATTGACACTTTGACACTTTTTTTTTTGTTATATTAAAGTTTATGACTGAATGCCAACAAGAGCTAAATTAACATTTATTTATTTCGTAGAGATTGGAGGTTAAAATCTCGTCATATTGACACTTGACACTTTTTTTTTGTTGGTTATATTAAAGTTTATGACTGAGTGGCAACAAGAACTAAATAACATTTATTTATTTAGTAGAGATTGGAGGTTAAAATCGTCCACTCTCTCATTTATTGTAGTAATATTCTGAGCTAAATAAAAAAATATAAGGAAATAAATAGATTTTTGAGTTGGTATAATAAGATTTATGGAGCACTAATGAGAATTATCTACCATGTAAAGGTTAAATTGGAATTAAGCCCAAATTATATGAATCAAATTGGAATTTTTAAAAGTATAGATCGAAATCTAAATAAAGTCCCTACCTTAAGGTTTAAGTTAAAACGATTATCGAGTAAATCTAAGGTGCCACACGTCCAAATTCCATTCAAGCCACATGAACTGGGTTAATGAAAATCAGCAAACCTTGAGTGCACTGAGTCCAATTACGAGGGCATCGATTTAAAGGATCAAGTACACCTGAGCCTGATACTCTATACTCAAACTACAATAAGCTCCCGATAATCACATGGATAATGCAACACCCCTCCTCTACTGTATACAAAAGGAAAGAAAATACGGTGGTCTCTATGAGAAGGGGGAGAATGAGAGAGAATATGAGATTCGAATGAAAAAAAGAGGGTGAAATGAAAATTATAAGTAGGAGGTATAGCATAGGACGGTGACGGCAGCAAATATTTACCAAACATGAAAATGAAGGGAGGGACACATTTCATAATAGTCTTAATTGAGAAATGCGTCCAATTTTCCAATCAATTTCTAATGTAATCAAAATTCCAATTCCGCTGCTCACTCTCTCATCTCATCTCACGCCTCCACCGGTGCCGTCGCCGCCGGCGTTCCTTCTGGATTTTGATTCGAGTGAGTTTTCAGATTTTGTTTCCGTCTTGATAGTGTTTTTTTTTTTTGTTCCGTTCATCTTTATCAATTATCAAAATTGAATACTTACAATTTTGACAGATTTGATGCCTGGTTTTGGTTTATAATAGTTAGCTTTTACAAAATATACAATTGGATGGAATTTCGGATTCGGTTGGAAATATTGGTTCCTTCTGGTATGATTTGCGACTGTGGAGCTATATCTCGCCGATGATTCTTGTGAATGTAATTTGTAATTTCGGCCACGTTGTTGTAATGTTTCCTGCAATGCCTTCTCGTTTGGTCTAGGAAGAGCAAGCCTACAACTCAAGATTGTCTGAGGAATGATTTGAATAATGGGACGAACATCTACTTAACTGCGAGAAAACTTATAGTAATGTTCTACACCATTCAAATTTGTAAAGAATCTTCAAGCATGAAGAAAAGGTGGTTGTGTAGCCGTTAAATGTAGTCAAAACAATTTCTTGTACTAGAAACCTCTTATTCATATTGTTACCTTCCAAGTCGGTTGCTAGTGGAGTTGATTAGTAAGACTTACGAACTATTTGCTCAATTTTGGATGCATGAGTTCTATGTTTCTTTTCCAAACTAGTTGCTCAATCTCTAATTACTCAAGCAACAGGCTGAGTCACCATTTGTCAGCTGCTCTACTGATAGGTCTATTCGTGGCTCCCTTTTTTCTTTCCTCATCACTCTTTTATCAAATAGATGGTTTCCAAACTCATTTACGTGGCTTCATATGAAGCTGAAAACGATTTTGAGTTCTCTTTGAGACAAGCTTTCCAGCTTCTTGAACCAAAGTTAAGACCTCCATTTTGCTTAAAGATTCCAGATCCACAAGAATACTTGGAGCTGAATCGGGCTATTCTCTATGGGATTTTATGTGAACCAGTCTTTGCTAAAACTCATATTAAGCATTTGCATGCAATCGTCACTGATGGTTATGGTCTGATTGTTTATCTGCTTCGGAAGGTTGTTCACGAACTATATGTTAAACTCATTGATTCAGCAAAGAGTCAGATATTTTGGGTAATTGAGGAAATGATAGATGTATGTGCTGTAGGTGTTGATGGTGTTCTGCTATCCATGTTGAGGCAAATTGTTGGTGGGGATTTTGGTGAAGGGAATTTATGGTTGTGTTTTGAATTGGTGAGTCTATTTTTGAACAAGTGGAGTTGTTTACTGGAAGAATTACCAGAGGTTATACCGAGTGCATTATATACCTTTCTACGGTTATTGGCAGATCACTGCAGATTATCAGGTCCAAAATTGGAGTCTCTGAAGCAATTGGAGGTTGAATTTTGCATTAAAGTAATTAGGGAGGAATTTAATTTTTGTTTGAAGATTGGGAGAGATTTTATTAGACTCTTACAAGATCTAGTTTATGTACCTGAATTTAGGGCTGTATGGAAAGACTTGTTATTAGAGCCAAGCAACTTTAGAACTCCAGCGTTTTTGGATATTTCAAAAGTTTACTACACTAGAACACCAAGTCGATACTTTTTGCTTCGTATTTCCCCAGAGATGGAGGCCCAACTGCGGTTTTTAATGACAAATGTGAAGCTGGGCTCTCAAAACCGCTACCAGGTGTGGTTTGCCAAGAAGTTTCTACATGGGTCTGAGAGGGAAACTGTCATTTGTGACATTGTTAGGTTTATATGTTGTGCACATCATCCTCCAAATGAAGTCATTCAGTCTCCTATTATTCCAAGATGGGCTGTTATAGGATGGCTTTTGAAATGTTGTAGGAAGCATTATATTGAAGCCAATGCAAAGCTTGCTCTCTTTTATGATTGGCTTTTCTTCGATGATCGAACTGACAAGATTATGAACATTGAGCCTGCAATGCTGTTAATGGTATATTCTATACCTAGATATATTGATATGGTTCACACTCTTCTTGAATTTTTATTCCTTCTTGTGGACAACTATGATGTGGAAAGGAAGGATAAAATAACTTTGGCCGTCTCTTCAGCTTTTACTGCACTTACTGAGAAAGGAGTAATTTCCTCATTGGACACTCTGACTTCTTTTGACGGCCTTTCTCCTTTATTGCGAGACAGGCTTAGGATAATTTCATCAGGTAGGAAGGTACAATTTCCAAAGGAATTGGAATTATATGGTGGACCTGATCACTCTGTGAAGCCCCTGTCTTCTTCGAGTAAATCTTGTGCAGAAACTGGCATGATATATCCTGAAAGCCAACCTAGCTGCATTGTAGCCAATGGAAATGATACATCAGTTGGTGCTTCTGTTCCTATTCTGGTCGATGTATCTTCCTCTCATCATTCAGTTGTTACAGACGTACAACAATGTGACAATGTAGAGATTTTGGTGAAAAATCTTGGAGATGTTACTAGAAAGTCCAGTAAAATGGGACTCAAAATTCTGGAAGAACTTCTAGCTCTATTTCTCTCGCTTTATGACAATGAACGAGCTAGCAGTTCAATAAGCACTGAAATATTGTCTTCCAGAATAGTAAATACCTATGAGTTGAGTGGGTATAAACTATTTTCTTCTGTTGAATTACTTCCAAATAATCCAAGCTATGATGATGAAATAGGATCTGCCACTGCCTTAATAATCCGTACATTCATCTTTCATCAAGAAAAAAATATGCACGAATTGCTTTTATTTTGTTTGAGGAATGCTTTCCCTGTGGGGGCACGATTGTTATCTTATGTATCTCGTCTGGCTTATGAGGCAAACAAGGCAGGTTTTACAGGCAATGAAGTGATTGAGAACAGTGATGGTGGAGAAATTGATTCGAAGACCCAGTTATTGCTGTTCCATCTGAATGGGTACTTTTCTTTCAGGAGTGGTATGAGAGAAAACCCTCAAGATACAATTGTCTCTTTTTCTGAAATAGACAAAATGTTGATTGCTAATTTGGTAAGAAATGCTTTTTCTGCCTATAGATGTTTCCTTGCTTATTCGAAAGATACTTTTTCCAAAGATGCAGATATATCTTTAACCAAGGTCTTCTATCTTGATTTGATGTCCTGTGTGGAATGGAATGCAAGGAGAGTGAAATTCTTATTTCGTTGCGTATTTGATTATCTCTCAGATTTATGCATATGCAAGGATGAGATTGTTAAGTTGCTTGTTACCCTGTTGGATTACACTGATCTTGTTAATATGCAGTTTGAGATTATTGAAAAGAAATTCTCAGTATTTGGTAAGGATGCTGAATCCATCTTTCTTTTAGTTAAGAGCTCTCTCAATTGGGGTCATCTCGAACAACATAAACTCTGGGGCTTGATAAGGTCAGAGCTTATAGTTTCAAAGTTTCAGCTGGAGAGCCTAGTTTGGAAACTTTTCTTCTCAGACATATTAGATGCAAGCTTGCATGCCATCGCCATCGAAGGTCTTCTAAATTTGTGCTGTTATAATACACCATCACCTGAGCTTGTTGGGGCAATCATGTTATTACCCAACGATCCATTTCAGGGCTTCTCTGCTGCGGTCTTGGCTTCCTGGGTTGTATCTAACGAGTCAATGCTATTTCAAAGCTTGGCTGATTTTGCAGAGAAACTCAGCAAGATGAGTGAGAGTGAGATTGTGGTAAATCATTCTGCGGTCTTATGGTTGGTGAATTATTATAATGCTCGAGGACTGAGCTACTCAACCATTCATAGCAACCTGTTTGGAAAGATTGTTGGAGGAAATGAAAAATAGTGATGAAAATGTGCGCTTTTGTATCAAATGTAAGCACGAGATTAACTTTCCTAATTGTTTTTGGTTTGCTGATTTTCTTTGAAAGTATTGTCAGGATTGGTTTCATGATCAAAATCTAAAGATGTTTACCCGTAGCTTGGATTCCTATTCAGATTCTATTACGAGTTATCTTTTCTCTTGACAGAAAGAATTTTTACTTTTGAGATGAGTTTGTTTTTTAAGAGAAATTTTAGATTTCAATCCTACTTTGGTCTCTATATGTTTGACTTTTGTCCATTTTAATCGTTCTACTTTCAAAATGTTCATTTAGTTTTGGTAGTTTATGCTTTTGTCCATCTTTGTCCTTATACTTTTGAGATGAGTTTGTTTTTAAGAGAAATTTTAGGTTTCAATCCTACTTTGGTCTCTATATGTTTGACTTTTGTCCATTCTAATCATTCTACTTTCAAAATGTTCATTTAGTTTTGTTAATTTATGCTTTTGTCCATCTTTGTCCTTATACTTTCAAAATGTCCCTTTTGGTTTGTCCATTTTGGTTCATCTACTTTAGAAAAGTGACATTTTTTTGTCTATTTGTTTATTTTTTATCTTATTTTTTTTTCTATCACAATTTCAGCACAACATTATACTCAATAAATTTCATTGTTGGAACCTTGTATTAGAGGAATATTGTTGGGCATAGAATTTGTGTTAGGATGTCGCAAATAGATACCAAAATGCTCACTTTTTAAAAGTATCGAGACAAAAGTGATAATTTTGGAATTATAGGAACTATGTGAACAAAGATGAAAATACAAGAACTAAAACATTTCGAGAGTACAAAGATCAAAATGGACAAAAGCCAAAAGTACAGAGACCAAAATCCACAAAAAAAAATTTAATCTCTCTCCTATTTTTGGTTTGAATACTTGTAGGATCAAGCTTTCTCTAAAAGTTATGGATTTTTTGTAGCAGGGAGACAAAATGTTAGATGTGACCCAGTCTGTTCTAGGAAGAAAGGCTCCCACTGAAAGATCATTTTCATCATTCGTGCCTGTATAATTCAGTTGCGAAATGCTTGCACTTTTTTCTGTTCTAAAATTTTGTCCTTTCTCGGAGCTGAAAAGAACAGAGATGCGTTAAAGGACGGTCAGAGTACAAATGCTGAACCTGGTGAGCTGCAGTAGATTTTTGTTATGCTTCTTTTTTTTGCCCTTTCTCCTTCAATATGTTTTTTCATAATTAATTCCATGTTTTGAGGTCTTAAACCTTTTGTGAGCTTACTAAATGATGGGGGTTCTCGTAGAGGGAGGATTCAACGAGCCAAGGGAGTTGGTGGCATGAGCCAAAACTTAAAAAGATCAGTTCTGTCAGCCCAACTGTAAGTGGACCAGCATTTTGGAAATAGTTATCTTTTATTCTGTTTGTAGTTAATGAAGAAGAGACATAATCTCACATATTCACTACTGGAAATCTGTTTCAATCCTGTTTCACCAGATGGCTGAAAGGCTTTGTCTAATGGGCTCGGGTTTCCGAAATGTGGAAACCGTTGAGCATGTTTTGGAGCCAAGTAGATAACTGCAGCTTTGTATTCTCCGTTCCCAATACCATTCACGTTTTACAGTTGGATGCAGAATTCATTTACTGATATCTTGAAGTAACTTCAATTTCATCATGGACTCATGGACTACACGACGAGGTTCGTATGTGTAGATGTAATGTAATGTTAACCTTTGTCTGATTGGGGCCAGTGAAAAAATAAATGTGATTAGAGGGAATGAATTCAAACCATGGTGACCACCTGCCCAGTAATCCATTAATCCTATAAATTTACATAGCAACTAAATGTAATAGCCCTTGCTTTGCGAGATTAGTTGAGGTCTATCAAGCTAGCCCGGACACTCACGAGCACAAATATCAAAAAGGAAAAAAGGATGTAAAGTAATGTTAGATCCGAGTGCTTTGTTATTTTTATATTCAACCTCACAACTCTTAAGAGTAAGAACTTCTCTGAATCAGACTTTCATCTTCTTTCAGACTTCCAGTCTCAAGCCTCCAATTCTTCTTTAGACTTAAACATGTTTTTACAGCTATGCTTTTTCAGTAAAGACTCAAGAAAGAGGATTGGAATATATTTGGCAGTGGTTTGAGGAACTCTTCGGGAACCGTCTCGTGGTTAGACAGAAATGGAAGAGTGTTTCTTAATATGGAGAGGAATGTAGACAACATGTGGCAGCTGATAGTTCTTGATTTCAATGATATAAAAGGCTCGCACTTTCGACGAACCTCTGGAACATCTTTGGTAAACAACAGTGTTTTGGAATGCTTACGCCAGTCTCGGCTTTCGTTTTGAATAGGAGGACGTTACTTTTGTCATTGTCAGTTCAAGGCACTCAAATTAAAGGTCAAAGCCAATGAAGATTTGGGACTGAGATGATTCGGACACTCATAGATTAAGAAAAACAAGTGAAGATATGAGACTCGCTCTCAACTTCTGAATCCGGATTTACTTCAGATATGAAAATATAAAAACTCTAGTAGTTTGTTTGTAGATATTATCATATTACATGAAATGCGAAGAAAATTGATATAGATGATATTCATATAGATTTGCAGCTCCTTTGCCTCAACTAGTTAGTACTCAATATTATTTGCCTTTTTTTTCATGGGAAGAAATTGATTATTGTTAATCTCAAGTTTTTTTTTTTGTTAATTGTTTTTTTTAATTTACGAATGGGGGAGATTTGAACCTCTAACTTTTAGGCAGTGATTCTTAAAGCCAGGTGAATAGTTATTATTTGGAGTTTAAGCTTGAGGTGCATAAAATATGAGGAATGAAATGGATCTAAAGATATATATATTTTTTAATTCTTTACATAAAATTTTTTAAAAACAAGAAAATAATAATAAAAAAAGCACCTTGAGACATTAACATCATTGATAAGGAAGTGAGGCACCTGGTTTTGCTTTGGCATGCTTTTGAAACGTGGTTTTTAGTAGTAATGCTTTGATCAGTTGAGTTATGCTCCTATCGATCATTAATTAAGAGACTAAGGGTGTTAATAGAGTAGGGATAAGGGTGACTTCTCCATCTTTATCCTTGTCGCCTAATTCATTTCATATTCTCGTGAATTTTTCACGTTTATCATTCTTTTTGGAGAAATGTACAAACCCTCATTGGAGTTAAATTTCCCTTATAAGAAATTCCTATTTAAATTGTTAACTCTCGGGAATCTCTATTAAAAGTTAAAAATTTCAACTAAATAATAAAAAATATATACATTTAAGTCGGGAACGGAGATGGGCAGGGGATGGGAATGGAGAGTTTCCATCCTTGCCCTTAACCTTTACCCAAAATGAGGTTGGTGGAAAAAGTGACCTCCTACAAGAGACGCTTAAGGAGGTAGTAATATCTTGATTAGTTGGTTGCTCATGACGTAAAGATTACTTATGGCGTACATTTGCTTTTAACATTCCGGTCCTCTTTGTTGTACTAAAAAAAGTTTTTTTTTTTTTTAAAAAATATTTATGGAACCATATGTTGAGTTTATAAAATAGCTAATTCTAAAATCCATCTTCTATGTTGGATTGTAACTTGTATTATTTGAAGTGAATTAGGTGAGTTTAAATGATTACAAAGCACTTTCTAACCTATTATAAAAGTATACCTTTCAAAGTTTTCATAATATTCCATCACTTGATTTTGTAAAGTGATTATGAAAATTTTAGAAATACTAAGAAACACTCTAGCTTTTAGGAGAAAGCACTTAATTATTACTTTTTTCTTTCTAAAACTGTTAACATAGAAAGTGATTTCACTTAAAACACTTTTTCCAAAGTCATTCAAAACTCACATTTAGACTTTGGTTTAAATTATCAATTTCAAAACAATATCTATTTTTCCTTTTGAAAACTTAATTAATGGATGGTATAATCTTAGATTACGGTGAAAAATGAAAAATGAAAAATGATATTTCTTCTAAATTCAAACAAGGAAGCAGGACAACTCACACCTCCAACTTTTAAAAAGGTGAAAGGTAACTCAGCAATGAATAAATTATTTTCTTCAGTTTATTAAGGACTTGTCATTAAAAATCCAACATCAAAGTAAATGTCCAGCAGATTAAATTTCATTTATAGAACAATACGTTTTAATTAAATACAATGGAACTGTTGAAAATATAAAACAGCAACCGTTGAGCATATTATTTTTGGGCATTATAAAAGTGGCTAAAGTTGAGACAAATCTCCAACAACAAAGCAACAAAGCAACAAAGAAATGGCCACTTTAATTGCTCCCAAAGACTTCTCTCCTGTTGAAGATGCAGAGAATATCAAGAAGGCTTGTTTAGGTATTTCTCTTCTTTTTCGGTTCTAAGAGACGGACCAATTGAGTTATGCTCGATTGCCTCTCTTGATTTAATCATGTGACCCAAAATACAAGAAAGAAGCTTAAATTATTCCTATTGGTTTGGGATGAAAAGATTTGAAATGAATTCTTTTAATAATTTTTTTTTTTTTTTTTCTGTTTGAGTGTTTGGTGGAAAAGGAAAAGAAAATAAGTTGCATGTTTACTAATATAGGCTTTTAAATTATTTATGTTGTTTGAAATGGGAAAGATTCGAAAGGAATATAATTAATTTTTTTCGCTGAGTCGAATGATTAATTTATCATTCTATGAGTCTTGTAAAATCCAAACATTCTAATCTAGAAATTCTTTAAAGGTAAAAATAGAATTTGAAATCATTTAAAATCCTGAGAAAACAAACGATTTATTTATGTTTTAGGTTGGGGGACAGATGAGAAGGCCATAATCTCCATTTTAGGCCACAGAAATGCAACTCAAAGGAAGCTTATAAGGTTGGCTTATGAAGAAATCTACAATGAGGATCTCATTAACCAACTCAAATCTGAGCTTTCTGGAGACTTTGAGGTGAGTAATGTTTTTTTTTCCTTTTTCGAGTTAACGATGTGGAGGTAGAAATTCGAATCTCTGATCGTTTGACCGAAAATATATATATTATCTTGATCAATTGACTTACGTTCAGATTAACGAGACGTATGATGTTATATATTATCTTCTTTGAGTTTTGTAACAAATTTTGATGGATGAATTTGAATATGTAATGTGGTGTGTGGTGGTATGGTAGAGAGCTATATGTCATTGGACACTTGATCCTGCTGATAGAGATGCTGTTTTAGCGAATGCTGTACTAAAAGCGTCGAAACCTGATTACCGTGTCATCATCGAAATAGCGTGTGTTCGGTCTGCAGAAGAGCTTTTGGCAGTAAAACGTGCATATCGGTTTCGGTTCAAGCATTCCCTCGAGGAAGATGTTTCCTCCTGCACGAATGGAGATATCAGACAAGTAAACGAAGTTTGATAATTTTTTTTCTTTATATTAGGCTTATAAACATTATTTCTACTCGTGCATTTCTTTGTTTTGTTATCTACTTCTAAAACAACAAAAAAATTTTAAATAAGAAAATTAAAAATGAAGTTATTTTATCCAAGTGATCAATTCTAAGTTGTTTTCTGCACCTAAAAGTTTTGGAAAAAAAAAATTTGATCTTTTAATTTCTTTTAAAATCTTTGTAACTAAGATTCTAAAACTGATATAGAAAAGTGGAGTACGAAACAACAAAACGGTTATCAAATGAGCCATTTTTTTAAAAAAAGAAAAAACGAACAAACAAACAATGGTAATCAAAAGACTTAATTCCTTTTCCAAAACCGAAAAACCGAATACCAAGTACACAATCGTTATTATCGACCCACGTATAAAAAAATGACGTTTTTTCCTTTTAATATAAACTTCATTGTTGCAGCTTCTGGTGGCAGTTGTTAGTTCCTACCGATATGAAGGCAATGAGATTGATGAAAGCACTTCACATTTTGAAGCAAACATTCTTCATGATGCAATCAAAGCCAAAGCTTTCAACCATGAAGAAATTATCAGAGTCCTTAGCACAAGAAGTAAGCCACAGCTCAATGCAACTTTCAATCACCATAGAGATATCCATGGCTCTTCTATCACCAAGGTATCAATCAATTATGTACCTTAAATTATAAGCTCGGTCTCTAAACTTTTCAGGGTTATACTTATTAGTCTTTGAATTCTAATAGATCTATAAACGGTTAGAGAGTTATCTCTATATATATCTAATAGGTTTTTAAACTTTTAATTTTTGTTCGTGTTGTTTAACCACATCAGTTTAAAGGCTTATGCCACCAAACGCATGAAACTGTCCCATATTAGCCTCCAACTAATATGATCCTTAAATGATAGTTCATGTAAATGCTTTGAAGAAGTGTCAATTGTCCTGGAATGAGAGTTTAGAGACCAAATATGTAATTTAATCCTATATATCAATGCGATATACTATTTCTTTTCCCTCCATTAAAAAAATGCAAAGAAATTTGAGTGTTAATTAGGGTAAATTGGTAGTTAAAGAAAGGACAATTTCTTTAATTTACATCTTGTATTATCAAGTTTAAGTTTAATCTAACTAATTAATACTTAAATAACAAACTCGTAAACATGAAAAGGAAATGAAAAGAAAAAATCATTTTCATATAAACCGAGATGAGAAATGCATCCCGACTCTTTTTTTAGTACAATAATATGTGGGGGTGATGATTTGGACCTCCGACCTTTTTGATCGAGAATATATGTCTTAACCAATTGATTATCCTGGTCACATTGACTTTTTTTTTCATAATTAAATTCAGGTGAGTATTAAACATGGATAGTATTTTGAAATGGGTGAAGTTGTAATTAACTATGCTGCAAGTATTATTATTTATTTTTTCCATTTAATGATTCTCACTAATGCAAGTGGGTTTTGATTTTGAACTTTAGGGTTTGATGGGTGAACCAGGTGATGAGTATCTTGCTGCATTAAGAACTGTTATCAGATGCATTAGAGATCCAAAAAAGTATTATGCAAAGGTACATTACATTTTTACAAGAACTATAGTATTAGTTGGTTGGAAACTTAAAATCCTGTTTCATAAAGGATTTCGTTCTTAGTTTTATGTTTTTATCTTCTCAATTTCTTTCATATATACTTTTCACCATTCTTACTGATACAAATTTGAATTTTTAACCAAATTTCATAAACATTTTAAAATTTGGCTCAAAAAGTAGATAACAAAAAAGAGCTTTCCTCTGTGGGGCGTGAAGTGGCGCAGTGAGCTTGTGGTCAAATGGGGGCTTTCCCCCTTCGAGGACGAGTCATAGAACATTAGTTACAGTATTGGGTGGCCATCGACACCTTAGTTATGGGAATCCAACTGGGAAAACCACACAGCATCGATTTTGGGTTATAAAATGAAAGGTAGATAACAAAAAAGCAAAGCACCAGATGTGTAAGCATTGTTTATAAAACTAAAAACAAAATGGTTATTCAAACAAGCCTAGAATATATTTTGACTAGTTTGATTTCAAACATGTTGGTTTTGCATAAGTTTTAATTTTTCCTTTTAAAAAACCGACCTACTTACACCCTTAATGTTTTCTTCAACTCTCGTATGTATATATCTGTGCTACGACTAAAACCTTCTATATATGCGTTTCAGGTTCTGCGAAATGCGATGAATGCGGTCGGGATCGACGAAGACGCTCTTAGCAGAGTGATTGTGACAAGAGCAGAAAAAGATTTGAAGGAGATCATGGAACTGTATCTGAAGAGAAACAATATATCTCTTGAGAAAGCTGTGGCCAGAGACATAGGAGGAGACTACAAGGCATTCCTTCTGGCAATTCTGGGCAGTGATGAGCCTTAAAATTGTTTGATTTTTTCTTATTCTTCTACTTTTAGAATAAGTTTATTGAACAAACATAGGTTTTTGAATGGATCCTATATGATTATATAGGAAATTTCTAAGTTTCCCATTTTCACTTCTTTCCAAATTGTAGTTGAGTTCTAAAGTATTTGATGTATCAACTTTCTTCGAAGGAATAAGAAAATAAAGTGGTTCTAGTACCTAATACGTCTTTGACCTTAGTTTTAATTTAGATTAAATCAAAATAATGTTTATTTTGTAATCAATTTGGCGGGCGAAACCTCAAACAAAATATAACGTCAATGGACTTTATTTACAACATCTACAAAAAACTCATCATATTGAATTTCTGTAATCATGCGTTAAGGATCTTGATCATATTCTATGAGATTGTTTATTTCATGTGCTCAGGCCTTTGGCGGCAGTAGGAGGAGGAGCGGCCTGGCTTTAGGGAGTCCGGCTTAGAGCACCGGAGCACGGCGGAGGAAGGGGTGGAGTAACGGAAACGATTATGGGAAGTGCTCCTTCAAAGGCGAAAAATCAGGATCCTTCATTAATATTAATGGCGTTTCCTAATGGTCAGAACATGGCCAAGGCAATTGTGGAAAATCAGGGGACTCATATTCAAGATGGACATGATTCTGATCGAATGGACATTGAATTTTAACTATTAAATCAAAAGAACGTTTGATTTTCAAGGGATCCAACGAGCCTATAAAATCGACAATAAATGGGGAATCACATCCCATTGTTAGTGGGTCGAAAGATCATATTGGGCCAACTGATGGTAATAGGCCGAAACAAGGTTGGAAAAGGAAGGAAAGGGGAATCCAGATTAAGGAGATGGACTTGAATTTATCCAACCCGCTAATAGGGAAAAGGAAATTAGAAGGTACAGAGGAAGATTTGTCTATTGGTCCAGAAAAAAAAAAAACTGAAACAGACTACAAATGCATGTTCTTAAACTCAAGCTTGGGTTTCAAAATTGCTTTCCAGTGGACTGCAAGGGAGAAGTGGTGGTCTAGCGTTGTTGTGGCAAGATAATGTGAAGTTTAATCTTCTCTCTTCCTCTAAAAATCACATTGATGGGTGGGTTGAATGGGAAGGAAGTCAGTGGAGGATGACGGGGTTTTAAGGGTGGACTTGAGGCCTATCAATGAAACTATGTTGGTACTGATCCCAAAGAATAAATCCCCTTTGAGAGTGTCTGACTTTCGACCTATTGTTGCTTTCCCACAACCGACGTGAATGCAAGTGCAAGTGTACACTATATTCTTGTCGATTGTAGTATAAACAAGGTCGAAATCCACAGGAATTAAGGATGTTACTTTAAGCATGCACTTAAGAATACCAAAAAATGCAAATAAAAGATAAATAGTGTTTATAGAATTATAACTAAGTATTTTCTAAGAGAGAAATATTGTGATAACAGATGCTGGGGCAAAGAAATGCTGTAGCAAAATGAATAGAACGGGGAAACAGTTAATGAGATGGAAACGGGAGAGATCGTGACATGCTTTCACTTGCTCACAGAAGACGCTCTAGCATAAAATCGCTACTGATGCTCAAACCAACGTGGTTCCCTTCCGAGACACCCAAATATGAATATCTACAACTTCCGTTGATAAATACCCAAGCATAAAGAATAGTTTATAAGCATGGTTAGGCGGACCTTATCCTTAAGAAAAAACAAATTTACTAGAAAAAAGTAACTAACCACAAAGAGAGCCAAACACGCTACCTATATACCCTTTCGAGTCATAAAAAAGCAAACAAACTGATAAATGTGGCCAGCATAGATCAGTAAGATGAAAATATTATATCAACTCTATTTAACAGCAGCAGAAACAGCTAGAAAGCCTCTGTTCACAAGCTACATCAAAGGATCCCAAAAATGGGGTTTAGTTCATGGGGAATGAAGAAAATACAATGGGTAGAGAGAGAAACAACCCATTTTGTGGAAAAGCTTTGAAAAATCCTCTGAAACCTCCTGAGAAACCAACAATTCTAGCCTCCTCCCGTCGGCTTTTTCTCGAAATGGGGGCAGCTTTCCTCGTCTTCAGCACATTTTGGGACTATTTTCCTCTCTTGGGATCTTTTCCCCCTTGGGGATTGATAATGAGACAACCTCATCTTGTTGCTTTTATAGCTCTCCCGAAAATTAGGGCGAAACTCAGTAAAACGCGCGTTGTACGGACAAAAGTAAAAATCCCGCGTTTTACTGCTGCCCAGGAATTTCTGCAGCAAGTGATGCTCCAACATTGACATGCTCTGGCACAACAACGCTCCGACATTTCTCCTCTAATCCTGGCATTCTCCTCAGTAAGTTTTCCAAATTCTGCACAATTAAACCAAAAAAAATAGGGGAAATAAGCAGGAACTTGCGTAAATTCAACAACATCAGGATTTAGAACATGGTAATCATCTTTTTCACTCAATTCCTCACTTAAGCATGCAATTTAGACACAAATGCCCTCACGTTAAAGCACAAATTAACCCAAATTATTAATAAAATAACTCTCTTTTGGAGAGTTATCACCTGTCTCCCTTTGCAATGTTTGTTATAAAATCATATCAAAAGTGATGGTTAACGGATTGAATAGGTATCTTGATCTTGTTATATCTCATAGTCAAGAGTGCTTTTATCTCAAAAAGGCACATCATTGATAATGCAATTATGGGTTTTGAATGTATTCACTCTCTTCGGAATAGAAAAACGGGTAATTTAGCATGGTCAACTTTGAAATTGGATATAAGTAAGGCTTATGACCGTGTCGAGTGGGCTTTCTTAGAAGAGTGATGTTAAGAATGGGCTTTGCTAAAGGCTGGGTTGATTTAATCATGAGATGTGTCCGATCTGTTTCTTTCTCCTTCAAATTAAACGGGGAGAGAAGGGGTCATATTATTCCTCAAATAGGGTTGTGGCAAGGTGATCCGCTCTCTCCTTACTTGTTTCTTTTTTGTTCAGAGGGGTTATCAGCACTTCTCCAACATCAAGCTAATGAGAGAAAGGTCTCGAGCTTGAAATTATCTAGACATAGCCCTCCTATTACTCACTTATTTTTTGGTCTTTTGTTCTTCAAAGCAAAGAGTTGTGAAGCTAGAGCTATCAAGGAGTGCCTCAAGCTCTATGAACGTGCTTCTTGTCAGATGATAAATCATGACAAATCAAGGCTAGCTTGCAGCCCAAATGCTGGTGCTTCTTTGAAAGAAAGGATGAAGGGAATCCTCTCAGTTTCTTTGGTAGATTGCCATCATCAATATCTTGGCCTTCCTTCCTTCATGCCGAGGAATAGAGTATCCAATTTTGATTATATCAAAGAAAGTGTGAGGAAGCAGCTTCAGGGTTGGAAAGGGAAGCTTTTTTCTAACGGTGGTAAAGAGGTTCTTATTAAAGCTGTAGTGGTTCAAGCTATTCCTTGTGATTCTATGTCCTGCTCTAGGTTGCTTAAGAAGCTTCTCCATGAGTTAAATCAGCTTGCTATTCGATTTTGGTGGGGAGAAGGGAGGAGTTGAGGAAAATTCACTGGATAGGGTGGAAGACTCTTTGTAAGCCAAAATGCTATGGAGGCTTGGGGTTTCATGACTTGGAGCTCTTTAATAAAGCTATGCTAGCTAAGCAAGGGTGGAGGATCATAAACAATCCTTCTTCCTTGTTGGCTCATGTGCTAAAAGGGAGGTATTTTAAAAATTGTGATTTTATGTCAGCGAAGATCGGTTGGAAGCCATCCTACATTTGGAGAAGCCTTCTTTGGGGGCGGGAGATTTTGGAAGATGGCACTCGGTGGAGGATTAATAATGGGGAGAAGGTTCAAATTTATGGAGATAATTGGGTTCCTAATAAACCTACTCTAAAGATCCTTTCGGATCACAAACTCCTCGTGACCACAACGGTTAGTTTTTTTTATTAGTGATATAGGACAGTGGAAAGCTGACTTAGTACATTCCCTGTTTGCAGTTGATGAGGCCCGATGTATCCTTTCCTTGCCTCTCCTTTCGGGAAGGGAAGGGGATAGGCTCATTTGACATTTTGAGAATTTAGGCGTTTATACGGTGAAAAGCGGGTATCGAGTGGCACAAATGAAGAGTCTTGATTGTTGCGCATCATCTTCTTCAGTGTGGGAAGAAGGGCGAGAATAGTTTCCATCTATTCCTAGACTGTAAATTTTCGAGGAGTATATGGAATTCAGCTAAGTTTGTGGGTCTCTAGGTTCCCTCTCATCACCGTAATTTGTGTTTAACACTTCAAGAGTAGAAAGATAATTTAAGGTGGCCTGATTTTGAAGAAGTGATCGTTTATCTGTGGGCTATATGGGACAAGCGGAATGCTAAAGCTTTGAATAAGGGTGGTGATGGGTTTAGCACAGTGTAGGTGAATTCATATATCTCAGTCTATAGAGAAGCAAATATCAGTATCGACATTTCAAGACACATTGCTTCAGAGCCCTAACCATGTGGTTTGGAAATCGCCTATATCAGGAGTCTACAAAATAAATACGGATGCATCTTTTAATCCACTTGATTTAAATGCAGGGCTAAGGATTATTATCAGAGATTCGAAAGGGCAAGTTCTGGCTGCTGAAACTAAATACCTGGATCATGCATTCTCGGTGGATGTTGTCGAAGCCTTAGCAGCGGAGGAGGGTCTGAAGCTAGCACTAGATATTGGAATTTCGCCACTTCAAGTCGAAATGAATTCTTTGCGAATTTTCAATCTATTTCTGCACAATAAAGGTGATTTATCAGAGGTTCGGTTGATTGTTCAAAAGACTAAGAAATGTATAGTAAATCGGCTCCATGCAGCTTACAATTTACAATTTTACAAAACGAGAAGGAAATGGGGATACCCATTTTTTGGCGAGACGGGCGTTGCAGGGATGGAAGAAGGTCATTTTGGGGTTGTCTCCCGGAGAGAGATTGTAATTTGGGTGTTTTATCTTTTTAGTTGTCTTTTTTGTTTTTCTGTTTTAAAAAAAAAAAAAAAGAATTTTGAGAGGCTGATTCTTTTTTATGCCTTCTTTTTTTCTCTCCAGGATCTCATCAAAGATAAAGATATATATATGTATATATACACACACATACGTAAAACAAAACTTTCTTTTAAATAACCAATTATATAGTTTAATCCTTTTGACTACTGGTAATAAATGATTGTTATTTTCTAAAACAAAACATGAACAAATTATAGCTAAAAAAATGAAAGTCTAATCAAAATCGAAATTACAATTGCAAGGAATAAAAAAGGAAAAAAAGTTTCACGATAAAAAATTTGCTGATTTTTTCCACTTTGTCCTGAAAGATATATAGCCCTCGATAATATGTGATGATCAAAAAATTCATTTTACAAAATCCAATGATATGAGAGATAATGATACAATTAAATTATGAAATAAATGGTCTTTGAAACAATCTTCTCTTTGGAAAAAATGAAGTAATCTCTTTTTATTGGATAATTGGGACTTAAGAGTTTTACTTCCCTATACCTAAGGAAACCTATAGCCGCCCCCTATTAAATTTGAGAAGGTTCAGAACTTTAGACCTTTAAGCCAGTATTAGGGGTGTAAGTCGGTCGATTCGGGTCAGTTCACAGGCAAAACCGACCCGACTCAAAAATGTTCGGTTCCTATTCAGTTTAGACTTCGATTTTTTTTAAGCGAGATTTTTTTGTATAGTTTCTCAGTTTCTCAAAAGCCAAACAAGGAGTTGAAGATGAAAGATTTTGAAACAAAAAGATTTTTCCTCTTTCTTCTTCTCAAAACCTACCTTCAGAACTTTAAAATCAAAACCTACTTCAGATCTTTAAAATCAAAACCCACTTCAAAATAAAGAAGAGATAGAAATCAAAACCCACCTTCAAATTACAAAGATTTTTCCTCCTTTTTCTTCTTCTCAAAACCCACCTTCAAATCTTTAAAATCAAAACCCACCTTCAAATCTTCAAAATCAAAACAATAGAAAACCTTCATAGAACCCATTTCAAAATAAAGAGATAGAAATCAAAACCCTCCTCCATTTTCATCTTCTCTTTCCATTTCTTTCAAATAGAACTTGAGATGAAAATGAAAACCAACCCCAAAATATCCACTTTTAAAATCAAAATCAGAGATGAAAAGAAGGGGTCAAAATCAGAGATGCATGGATTTGTTTCGTCATCACCACCATGGATTTGTTTAGATTACTGCCACCATCAATTTCTTTTGCAACCATCGCCACCCTGCGAGAGGGACAGTCCGATGCTGCCGCCGCCATGTGAGAGAGAGAGTTTGCTACCTCTGTGTAGCAGTGAAAGAGAGGAAGAGAGACCTGTGGATGGAGGCGGTGGTTTTAGTTGGTGTTGAAAGGTTAGGGCAACGCATTTCAAACATCGATTTTATCGGGTCGAACCCACCCGAATCGACTTTCACTGTACCCAAATCGAACTTCGATTCAGATCGATTCATCAGATCAGTTCGGACACTTACACTCCTAACCAGTATGACCAAAAGACACCAAGTCCGTGAAAACCATATTTATCATGAAAAACAATACTTTCAGCATTATGAAACTTGTCCAAATTTCAGAATGTGTTTGCTCAACCCCCAAAATTCTATCGCGAAAAATGGGTATCATCAAATAAACTAACAGAGCAGGACAAAGGGCATAACATCATGTTTTTACTGTATAACAGAAACAAGCATTAGAGAGAGCAAAATAGCCTTGTACATCTCAAAGTATTTAGTGTACTAGTAATTCTAAATCAGGGTATGGTCAGACAGTCATATTTCTCATATGTACACACAAATGACTTCAAGCAACAAACTAATTGGCTCACTTCTTCCGGGCAACAGCAGCAGCGATACCACCAGCGATCAGCCCGACAGCAGTGGCTGCAATGCCAATGCCGATCACACCATCTACATTTCAGACCAAACGTGACACAATGAATGAAAATGATCAATTTTCGATGAATTACGATGAAGTTGGGACAAGGAAAGAAGAGAGATATGGCAGAAAACAATACCTTTAGTGATCCGGTCTTCAATCGATTTCTTCAGTGTAATTGCCTGTCTCCAGTCAGGGGCAATCTGGGAATCAATCATCAAAACAGTTAAACTCCAAAGTTCAAAAATACTATTTAATAAAAAAAATAAACATCATCAATAGTTTTAAAAGAAGTGCCACATTCTAAAATCCCAACAAAATTTGTGTCAACAACATTGCGCATAGATTGGTGTCAGCAACATTGCACATCCTGATGTGCATACGAGAGTTTGCAGTTTGCGAAGATCTATTAGTCAATGAATTCAAATTTTATTCACTATAACGGTGGGAAAATTGGCAAAATTCTAGGAAATGGCAGCTAATGGATTTTTTTTTTTCTTGATAACTAGGAGTTAGAGTTTTGCCCCCTATACCTAGGGGCACCTGAGGGACATTAAGAGTTTTTGGTATTAAACTCACCAGAAGGTTCGAACTTGAGACCTCTAAACCAATATGACCAAGAGACATTGCCAACCAGGCTATCCGACATAGCTAATTGCTTTTAAAATAAAAGTAATTGCAAAAGGGGATTAGATGTCCTAGATCCGAGGAATTGGAGCCCAGAAAAAGATGCTCCACTCAGCCAAAACTAAAAACAGGAGAACTAGCTAAGTTTGAGAAAAATGAAAGATGGCACAAGGGCATAAAAGAAAAACAGCCCGACAAAAGGCAATAGGAAGGTGAATGAAAGGTATCGATCACCTTCTTCGATTACTATTCCGATTCGAAAAGAGCCCGTGGGCGATTACAAGTTACCCCACCAATTCGAGAGGGTGGGTTTCTCTCCTTCATACCTTACTCACTAAGGCACAAGCAAAAACAGACTGCCCTCCCCAGATTGGGTACACTCCCTGTATCTACCGTACCTACCTCCCCTCCCACAAAATTGGCAGATACTCTCTCTCTTGGCCGTTAGGCCTCCTCTTGGGTATTCCCCACATTACCCTCTAGGTTATTTCCCATCTTACCCCTCCTAGAGTACGTCTTCATAATATGGGGTCTAACAACTTCCCCCTCGTTCAGAAACACCTTGTCCTCAAGGTGGAACTCCATAAATTTTTGCATCATTTCCACCACAATTTCCCAGGTTGCTTCTTCCGCAGGTAATCCTTTCCAGCTGAGCAGCACTTCCAACTCTCCAGTGATCTCATTCTTCTGATAGGCATAGACTTCCTCAGATTCCGCACGCCACTCCATTTCATCCGTCAGCAAGGGAGTTATAGGTTGCACCTCGTGTGTTGCTCCCTTTTTTGAGCTGCAAAATGTGAAACACGGGGCGTATAGCTGCTTCAGGGGGCAATTTCAACTGATATGCTACCTTACCAATGCGCTTCTCCACCGGAAAAGGACCAAAATACTTAGGACTCAATTTCTCGTTCCTTCTTTTCGCCAAAGATTTCTGTCTATACGGCCGAATCTTTAAGTACACTAGATCACCCACCTCAAATTCCATCTCAGTACGGTGCCTGTCCGCAAACTTCTTCATCCTAGCTTGCGCTTGACTCAGGTGATTCGAGTGCTGCATCGTGATCTGCCAACTGCTGATCCGTTGGATGTCTTCTGACTGCCATAGAACATTAAGGGTGGAGGGTCTGTCCCATATATTATTCTGAAGGGAGTAGTGTCTATAGACCCGTGGTATGTGGTGTTATATCAGTACTCAGCCCAAGCTAGCCAATTTCCCCATGCCTGTGGAGAGTCAGTGCAAAAGCAGCATAGATACGTCTCCAAGCTCCTATTGACCTGCTCGGTTTGTCCATCCGTTTGTGGATGGTAGGAAGTACTCCTTTTTAATTTGGTGCCTTGCAAGCGAAATAACTCTTGTCCAAAAATGACTCAGAAAGATCTTGTCTTGATCAGAGATGATCGATCTTGGAAACCCGTGGAGCCTCACTATCTCCTTAACAAACGCAGCCACCACTATCTTAGCGATAAATGGGTGTATTAGGGGAATGAAGTGCGAATACTTACTGAGCCTGTCAACCACCACCAGAATCGTGTCATGTCCCAAGGATTTGGGTAGGCCTTCCACGAAATCCATGGTTATATCTTCCCAAATTCGATCTGGTATAGGAAGAGGCTGCAACAATTCGACTGGGGACATCACTAGAGTTTTATTCTGCTGACAGACGTAACATTCTTCCACATATTTCTTGACATCCGCCTTCATACCAATCCAACACAATTCTCCTGTCAACCTTTTGTAGGTTCGTAGAAAGCCCGAGTGTCCCCCCAAAACGGAGTTGTGATACAAGTGCAAAATAGCTGGAATAAGGCTGGAACTCTTGGACACTACCATCCTGTTCTTATACTTAAGGACACCTTGTTGCAGACTATACTTAGAACACTGTCCTCATCCCTATCAAGTTCTTGCAAAATGGTCACATAATACGGATCTTCCTGCACTTCTTTCTTGATTAATTCAACACCAAGGATGGCCGGAACGGTTAGAATGTTCCACAAAATTTCGATAGTACCCCGTGAGGCCTAGAAATCCCCTGAGTTCCCGAAGGGTAGTGGGTGGTGGCCACTGTATCATTGCTCAGATTTTCTCCTAATCAGCTTCTACCCCATTTGCTGAGATCCAGTGTCCAAGGTACTCAATTCTCTCACAAGCGAATTGAACCTTCTTCAAATTAGCGCATAGTGAATTATCCCTCAACACATCAAACACCACCTTTCATGAGAAGGTAAATCAAGACTATATATGAGTATGTCATCGAAAAATACCAAGATGAACTTACGGAGAAAGGGTCTGAAAATATGGTTCATGAGGGACTGAAATGTAGATGGTGCATTGGTCAACCCAAAGGGCATTACCAGAAATTCGTAATGACCCTCGTGAGTCCTGAAGGGTGTCTTATGCACATCCTCCGACGCCATCCTTATCTGGTGATATCCAACTTTCAAGTATATCTCTGAGTAAACTCGTGAGCCATGTAACTCATCTAGCAGCTCTTTAATAACTGGAATAGGAAATTTATCAGGCACTGTGACGTTATTTAATGCGCGGTAGTCAACACAAAACCTCCAGCTTCCATCTTTTTTCTTTACCAAGATCACTAGACTCGAATATGGACTTACACTAGGCCTGATGATTCCCCCTTCAATCATTTCTTCGATGAGTTTCTCGATTTCCTCCTTCTGCACATGTGCATAGCGGTAAGGCCGTCAGTGTTTTCGAGGCGCAAGGCGCACCTCAAGGCGACAAGCCCTTTGATCGCCTTGAGGCGAGAGGCGATACAAAGGCGACGCCCGAGTGAAGCGAGGCGCACCTTAATAAATAAATAAAAATTATATATATAGTGCATAAATTTATATAGTAAACATAGTTTAAAAAATGAATACCAAAATAGTGTCATAGTAAATGTCAACAAGATACATAAAACAACCAAATGCAATAAGTTTAGTCAGAGACGGGAGCGGCGACGTTGATGATCGGAGACGGGAGTGGGCGATGGCCGAAGATTGAGGGTGGTGAAGGTGAATGTCGAGAGGTAGAGAGAATGGTTAGGGTTTGTGGACTGAGGTATTTCGCGAGGGAGAAAGGTTCTTTTAAAAAAAACGTATTAAGGGAGCTCTTGGAGGCGCACCCGGGCTCCTTCACTGGAGTTGCTCCTTCTTTGATCTGTATCTTATGATCAACATTCCGAGATAGGGGTAGTTGTCCCGTGCTCTGGAAAATATCCTCATATTTGCCAAGAAGCTCTTGGATGTTTCGGGGCAAAGGGCTTTCCACCGCAGATGGCTCACCTTCCTCTACCAACACTTGAGGTGTCATGGCGTGCAACTCTACCCAGTATCCTTGATCTGTGCTCTGCCATCCTTTGGTCAGCCTTTTGAGAGAAATCTCTAGGCGGGTCAGTTTGGGATCTCCCTTAATAGTGATCTTCTTGTCTTCTCGTGTAAATGTCATGGATAACGCAGGACAATCCACCTCCATCTTTCCCATTTATTGGAGCCATTACATCCCAAGAATGACATCTAAATCACCCAACTCTATTGGCAAAAAATCCTCTACTACCGTAATGCCAGTTAGTTCCAGAACAACTCCACAACAAATGCCCTTTCCCTTCACTGCTGCCCCTGATCCCATAATTACTCCATAGTTGTAAGTCTCAGATTGCTTGATCTTTAGTTCCTCCACTAGGCGCTGTGATATAAAGTTGTGGGTGGCTCCACAATCCAGCATCACCACCGCCTCACGCCCTTGGACAACTCCTTTCACCTTTATGGTGCCTGGCGTGGGGTTCCACGATCTTGTTCAAGCGGACGACCTTTCCCACCTCTTCTTCCACTTCAATAGCATCCTCTTCTTCAGAATGAAATTCCACATCATGAACCACAAACACTCGCAATTCTTGATTCCGACATTTGTGTACTACCGTTTACTTTTCCTCACATCAAAAACATAATCCCTTTTCTTTTCTCTTCTGATATTCAGCTTCTGTCAGTCGTTTATAGGGAGTACTTTTCCTTGCGGCCGGAGTTGTGCCCGCAGTTGCCACTACCCCTGGTGTACTAGCCAAAGTGACCGTGCGAGTAGGGGTTGTATTCGGAGTCTGTCACCGTCTTCCCTCCAAGAAGATTTACCTTCGTATAACGATCAACCGCTCCTTCCCCTGCTTCCTGAACTGCTGTGGCAATGTCCTCCACCAACTGCGCTCTGTGCATTATCTGTTCCAAACCTTGAGGTTCTGTGGCCAACACCTTTGAGCGAACTACAAGGTCTAGTCCATTCAGAAACGTGCATTCCAGTACTTCATCGGAGAGCTGAGGCAGGGGCGCCGATAATGCTTCGAATGCCTCTTGATATTCAGCCACACTCCCCTCTTGCTTAATCGCTAAAAGTCGTGCGCATTGTCGTCCCTCTTTCGATTTTCGAAAACGTTTGAGTGATCGTGTGCGCAGGTTATCCCAATCCGTAAACTGATCTCTGGGCTCATGCCATCGGTACCATGCTAGTGCTACCACATCGAAACTTATCACTGTTACAATCAGCTTTTCCTCATCAGTAAGTTCATGTATTTCAAAATAACGTTCGTTTCGGAAAAGCCAAGAGTCAAGATCCTTACCTATGAAGATTGGCATCTCAACCTTCTTGAATTTATTTCGATCATAGGCCTGGTCATTGATCTGTACCACTCGCGTCGCCTCCTCAGTTAGCTTGTTCTTCTGAACTAACGATTCGCCAAGTTGCGAAATCGAGGGAGTTTTACCACCGATAATTTCCGACATGAAGCTCTCCAGCATGTTCTGGATCCGCTCACTCATCACACGTTGTTCCTCCACCTTCACAACCGTGATGGCTCCCTTAATATCGGTAACCTCCTTCTCCATTGCCCCGCACCGTGATTCCAATTCCTTCACCATCATCGTCGCTCGTCTTCCCAGTCACGAACTGCTCTGATACCAATTTGAAAGGTATCGATCACCTTCTTCGATTACTATTCCGATTCAAAAAGAGCCCGTGGGCGATTACAACTTACCCCACAAATTTGAGAGGGTGGGTTTCTCTCCTTCCTACCTTACTCACTAAGGCACAAGCAAGAACAAATTGCTCTCCCCAGATTGGGTACACTCCCTATATCTACCGTACCTACCTCCCCTCCCACAAAATTGGCAGATACTCTCTCTCTTGGCCGTTAGGCCTCCTCTTAGGTATTCCTCATACGCATGTCAATCATGAAAAAAAATTTAAAGAATAGTGTGGCGCTTATCCTAGGTCAAACAAGTATCAATGTCATATTCACATTTTTTTGCGTCTTTAAGCTAGTGGTGTAGGTATTATTATGCATATAAATCTAAGCCACAGATGGAATCATACCGTTAAACATTGTTCTACAAGTTCCCTGCTCCTAGAGTAGTCACCACTTCTGAAATACCCAACAGAAAGAAGATAAAGCTTCTCTCTCATCTTCAATGGGCTGTCATCACTAGATAATGCAGCTGCATAATTGCTCGAGTTTTAAAAAAATGACAGAAAAGGGAGAACAGATATTTAACAGTACCAGATGAGTAAACAGCTCAACTATCAGTTGACCTAAGCACTATGAAAGTTCACATTTTGGAAACCTGAGAACATAACAAAAATAGGATGTTCAATTCCATAAAACAATTCACCTTCAAGCATTGCTATCCCACGTTGTACATCTTCAGGTTGCCTGGAATGAACAAGTGCCCAAGATAAACGCATAATGCTTTCCTTCAACTGCTCATCAGCTGAGCTCTTCTCAGCATCAGCAACCTCTCTTTCACAACCCTGCAATGCGTGACCATAGCAGCCCAAAATGGATATCATTTTGGGTGCAGAACCATTAATAAAATAAGTTACCGGTACAAAAGAATAGTATGAG